CGATCGCGGTTGCGCTTGGGCAGGGAGGACAGGCGTGTTTGCGGCCATCTCCCCCCTCCCCCAAGCACGATCATGGCCATCTCCCCCCCCCCCCCGCCCCCAGCATGATCGTGGCTGGAGCCATGCAGGGAAGACGGGTGTGACCGCGATCGTCATCCAGTGCAGCGTTCGCAACCTGAGTCGCAATTTTTCTGCGATTTCTGTTCGTGACCCGATTTGGTCGTGGACTGAGGCGTTTGTGAGCCGAGGTATCACTGTATGTGGTTGCGCCGATGGGGATCCTTACACCTGAATTCTGAGGATTGCAAGAGAGCCAAGATTTGACAACTGTGGTCAGCCCCTCCAAAATACCTCTGGGACTGCTTTTATCTGTCAAAGCAGGGAATATGGCGTCAGGTTGCAAGCTGGCTTCAGCACCTTCAAGGGAAGGAGAATTAGAGTGCCAGGAAAGCGGTTGGGAACCCTAGAATATAGAATGGAAGAGCTGGAAGGGGCCATGAAGGCCACCGAGTCCGACCCACTGCTGTTGCAGGACACCATGTGACACCCCCTGAACATCTTCTGAGCATGCTGGAGATGGGGAAGGCGCCCCCAGCTGACTTGCCCCCTCCTCTCTCGAGACGTTCGTGCAGGCTGGGGAAGGGAATGTACATGGTGCCAGGGAACCCCAGCCAGACACCTGAGTCAGGATCCCCTTATGCTGACCTGATCCTCGGTGCACACCAGGCAAGTCAGGTGGAATCCTTGCCCAGGGCACTCAATACTGGGCCTAAGCCACTTTGAAAGCAGGGAGAGGGGGGACTGCAGGCAGCCCCTCCAAGATAGGGCTGGGGCTCCATGGAGGTAGAGCTTTCCCGATTTCAAATGCAACCGTTTTGAAAACAGAAAGTCAACCTAGGCCAGCCTAAACTTGCCCTTGCGTGTTGCTCCAAGTTCCCCTTTGTCGTCGTTGTTCATGTGGTCCTTGCTTGGCAAGAGCAACGGGTCTTTTGCTACTCTGGTGAGGGACCCTGAAGCCCCTTGCCTTCGCTCAGGGACCGCTGCATCAGCTGGCTTCAGATAAGAGCGAAGCTCGGAGAGGCTGCCCAGCCAGGGGCTCTCAGAGTCAGGCATCTGAACCACCCTGAAACCACTGGTGGCCCTGTGATGTGAAGCAAGCCAATCTTTGCAAAACTTCAGCTCAGTCCCAGAAAACTCCTGCCTGTGTGTCCTTATTCCATAGAACTGCTCCGCTTCGCATGTCGTTGAAAATCATGTCTTGTTATCATTTTCTTTTAATTGTTTACGGTCAATAGGACACTCATGAAAGCTGTTCTTCCTTCAGAGGCGCTGGAAACTCCAGAGTCCATCTGTATCCCTGTGAATGTGAAGCCAGCTCCGTATCACTCATTCCCCAAGAAATGGCTGTTTCCGCAGCTGGAACAGAGTGGAAAGAGATGTCGAAATAAAAGCAGCAGCAATTTTAACATCCGTTCCATCCCTTACCTCCTGACAAGAAACTCATTTTGTCTTCATTCTCAAGCAGGTGATTGGCAGGCAACGAAAATTGTTTGTCCTTTCATTGAAAACAAGAGTGTGAAGTGAAGGGAGAGACATTCCAAAACCAAAGAGAATCTAAAAAGTGTGACAGGAACCAAGTAAAGATGAGGAGGAAAATTCATCTCTTTGGTAGAGGTAGAGCAACCCACTAGAAATTCAAGAAAGACAAAGAAAGGAAAAAGGTGCAGTAAAATCTTAACATTTCCTATTATGTATTAAGGTTATTATTAATCCAACAGGGAACTAAAATAAGAATAAATATTTGATAAGAATTGCACAATTCAGAGAGTAGAAAAATCATATAGAAGTCTAGAAGGAAAAAGAGGTTTGTTCCAATTGGAAAATCTTACCACTATTCAGAGACCCAAAACCCAGAAGATGTCGTGCACATGCATAGAATGTGGAAAGAGCTTTGGCTGGAATCATCTTCCTTTACATGAAAGCACTCACACTGAGGAAAAGCCTTTTATGTGTGCGCAATGTAAAGAGTGCTTCAGTGATAGCGGAGACCTTTCTATACATCAAAGGATCAACACTGGAGAGAAGACTTGTAAATGTATGGAATGCGGAAAAACCTTCAGCCAGAAACTCTATCTTCCTTTACATGAAAAAGCCCATACTGGGGAGAAATCATATTTATGCCATGAATGTGAACAGGCCTTCTCTGCATGTGGAAGTCTTACTAGACATCAACAAACGCATACTGCACAGAAGCCATATGGATGCATGGAATGTGGAAAAACCTTCTGTGAACGTGGAATGCTAACTACACATCAAAGAATGCACAATAATGAGAAACCATATACTTGCATGGAATGTGGGAAGAGCTTCAGCAGGAATCAAACACTTATTGTACATGAACGAACCCATACAGGAGAGAAACCATATAAATGCATGGAATGTGGAAAGCGCTTCCGTGATCGTGGTGGTCTTTCTATACATCAAAGAACTCACAGTGGGGAGAAGCCTTATACCTGCATGGAATGTGGAAAAAGCTTCTGTGATGGTGGCAGTCTTGCCACGCATCAAAGAACGCACACTGGGGAAAAGCCTTATATATGCATCGAATGTGGAAAGAGTTTCTGTCTTGGTGTAAATCTCACCAGACATCAAAGAACACACACTGGGGAGAAACCTTATACATGCATCAAATGTGAGAAGAGCTTCTCTGATGGTGGGAGTCTTACTAGGCATCAAAGAACCCACACTGGAGAGAAGCCATATAAGTGCATGGAATGTGGAAAGAGCTTCACACAGAATCAACATCTTACTATACATCAGCGAATTCACAGTGGAGAAAAACCTTATACTTGCATGGAATGTGGCAAGAACTTCTGTACACGTGGAACTCTTACTACACACCAAAGAACACACACTGGGGAGAGGCCATACAAATGCATGGAATGTGGAAAGAGCTTCAACCGAAATCACACACTTACTATACATGAAAGAACCCACACTGGGGAGAAGCCATATAAATGCATGGACTGTGGGACAAGATTCAGTGATGGTGGAAGCCTTACTAAACATCATAGAACCCACACAGGGGAGAAGCCATATAAATGCATGGAATGTGGAAAGAGCTTCAACCGGAATCATACTCTTACTGTTCATGAACGAATTCATACAGGGGAGAAGCCATATAAGTGCATGGAATGTGGAAAGAGCTTCTGTGATGGTGGAAGGCTTAGAATACATCAAAGAACTCACACTGGGGAGAAGCCATTTAAATGCATGGAATGTGGAAAGGGCTTCAACCGGAATCATATTCTTACTATACATGAAAGAACCCACACTTGGGAGCAGCCATATATATGCATGGAATGAGAAAAGAGTTTCTGTTTTGGTGGAAAGCTTAGTATATATCACAGGACCCACAACAGAGGAAAGACTTCACCTTGCATGGACTGTAGGAAGTGTTTCAGCCAGAACTCTCATCTTGATATACATTGAAGACTTCACAGAGGGGAGAAGCCATATATAAGCATGGAATGCGGAAATAATTTCAGGAAGAATCATCTTTCTTCACATCAAAGAACCCATGCAGGAATAGTCCACTTTTGAACATGGAATTTAGAAACAGTTTCAACCAGAATCACCGTCATACTATACACAAACACATACATACTGGGGATGAGCTCTTTTAATGCGTGGGGTGCAGAAATAGCTTCAGTAACAGGAGATGCCTTAGAAAGCCCCAAAGTACTTATCTGGATAGGAAGCATAGAACTGTGGAAAGCAGGGAAAGACTTTCAGCAGTTTGGGATATTAAGGTACATATCAAGGACCTTGCAGAAGAGAAAAAGACGAACATGGATGAACTGTGAAAAGAGCTTCAACTGTATCGCAACCCTTGCCGCATGCACTGTGGAAATACGCTGAATGCTGTTCCGACTGTACCAACCGCAGGGCTGGTTCCACAGGGGAGCACCAAGTAGAAGTGCAGGGACATAGGAACCAAAATCCCACGCAAGATCAAGGGAAAAGTCAGTCCAGTCCAGCATTTTGCTCACCCTTCCGTCTGTCTCCCACCAGCCTTCTGCTGTGCATTTCGGAAATTAAGTCTTTCCCAGAAAACTTGGATTACACTTTAAATGAGGCAGGACAGTGCCTCTCCGTTGTTAATGTTGTTTTTTAAATATGTATACAGACTGTAGGAAGAGCTGTACCCAAGGGGTTCTTTCCTTCTCTCGTAACAAAATGCTTAATTATTTGGTCCCTGAAATATGATTTTGTATGACACGGCTGTGTTGGCCTTTTTATTGGTTTTGCGTTATTGTTCGTTATTGTCATGCTATCCTTGGTCTCGTCCTGTGTGTGCACCCATAAACCTCGGAGGTGGCGGACATCCTGTCAAAGGCGGGAAGAGCGCGGCAGACACCTCTGCAGCTCCGTTCCCCTCATCTGATTTTGTGTGTCTGAATGTGTTGCTCTCTTTGTGGGTTGAAGAGGTGAGGCATCTCCTGAATTTCAGCCTCCCTACATCCAAGAATTTAGCCCTGTGCTGGAATCAAACTGACCTTCTGTCTTTGCTTCCCAGTCAGCATGGGAGGAACTGGTGTGTTCGGGGGGGGGGGGCTTGGGGGCCACCTGAATCTGCCCTTTAAGCCAGAGTCCTCTGTTCAGGCAGGGATCCAGAGAAAGCCAAGGGCAAGACAGAGGCAAGACCACCAACAAAGCCGATCAAAGATGAAGTGGAGTTGTAACCCGCTTCTTTTGTATCCAGATGCCTTTAAGGCCAGGGAGGTGAGCCTCCTTGGCCAGTGACTGGCTTGCTGAGTCATTCTCCAGGCTCTCCTCAAGGGTGGGGGGAGTTCCTATAGCAGCTGAGCTGCAATCATGCTGCCCCATTGGCAAAAAGTGTGAGCGGGCCTTGAGTGACCAGGCAGCCCGAACAGCGTGAAATATGCCAATCCTGTAATGAGTTTCTGCAGTCCCTTCTCCAACAGCCCCAGCTTAAAAGAGAAGGCGGGTTTCTTGACAGGAATATGCAAGGATGGAGCAAGTGGACTTGGCTGTCAGGTTGTCGGCAGACCCAAGTTGCAGGGAGACCTCTTGGGCGGGGGGGGGGGGGGGAAAAAAGTCAGATGCTTCAGCATACCTGTTTTCCTCCTCGTCCCTTGGAAGGATTCAGCCTAACCTGAGCTGGCCGTGAATGCTTCTTCCCCATCCCAGATCAGCCATGTGTTCAGATTCTCCTCCTCGGATCCTCTGGGCACAGGCAGCGAAGGACCAGGTCAGGAGCTGGTGGTCCCACAATATCCCTGGTTCAAGTGAGACTTCGTCCTGGTTTCCTACACAAGCCAGGTCTGTTTTCCTTCTAAAGTCCAGCATTGCCTTTCCCGGCAGGTGCGATCACCTGAAAGCCAAACGAGAGTCTTCCGTGTTGCTTCTTTCCCATGAAAAGCGTCTGAAAAGAAAGTGAGGCTTCTCTTGTTTTTGCTTGGTGAACCTGGTGGGTTTCCCGTAAGACGGGAGTCTGCGAAGGTCCCCATATGCCAGCCGGGGATCGGCAAAAAAGCCAGATGGAAGCCAGCACTGGGGTTAGTGGAAAGGCAAAATAACATCATGGAATCGTAGAGCTGGAAGAGGCCACTGGGTCCAAAACCCCACTCAGTGCAGCTAAAGCTTCCCTCCCGCTTGGCTGTCCAGTTGCATCTTCAGCACCCCTCATGTGGGAGAGCCCCAGCCTCACAGGTCTTTGCTTCCACAGTCATACTGCTCAAACACTGAGGAAATTCTTCCTAGCTGAAATCAGAGAAGCCTTCTCCGCATTCCCTGGAACTTTTTTCCAAGATCTGTTTCTAGGAACCCCATCAGAACAGCTCTTCAGCTGTTTCTACGGGGGACCAGACAATCACTGGCTTTTGGTCCTCCCGGGCTCAGGAATCCAGTGTTGATTCCCTGACTTTCTCTCCCACTTTCGCCGTATGGAGTTCAGGCACGTCATCCTCATCTTTTCCGTGTTGATCCTTGCAACACTCTCGTGAAGTAGGCTGGGCTTAGAGGTCCTGAATGGCCCAGATCTTCCAGTGAGAAGGGGGCGGTCTTTGCTGGCACACCTCTCATGCGGCCAGATGGCTGTGTTGATGCTGATCCGGTCTGGCTGTGGTGCCTTCGGGAGGCGGTGAGTCAGCCGACGTGCCTTTCGCAGCTGCATCAGAGAAAGTACCTGGCAGGCCAACCTCCATCTCAAAAGGCCGGGGAAAGAAGCCAGGGTGTCTACACGCAATGAAGGACAGATCACCCCTCCATAGTTTATTATTGTTATCCCTGATATCAATTTCATCTCCATACTATGGAGATGAAATTTCATCTCCATAATTTCATTTCCATCTCCCTATAGGCAAAGCGCTCAGACGATCTGGGTTCGAGTCCCCGCTCAGCCATGGAGCCAACTGGGTGACTTTGGGCCAGTCACAGCCTCTCAGCCCAGCCTACCTCACAGGGTTGTTGTTGTGGGGATAAGATGGAGGAGGAGAATGATGTAAGCTGCCTTGAACCCTTCGTAGGAAAAAGGCAGGATAGAAATTGAAAAATAAATACATAAAATACAAGAGACAATACAGGCTAAGATAAAACATAAAACCGTGCCAATTTAAATGCCACTTTTTAAACACTAGCTTATAGATTTTAATTTATAAAACCTGTTTTGGCCCGACAATAATACTAAACTTATCCAATGCTTGTGGTAGAGTATAGTCCTCATCTGGCATTTAAAAAAAAATCAAGTTGGCAGCAGGGGCCTCCTCAGGGAGCTTGTTCCATAACTGTGAGGCCACCACTGAAAAGGCCCTTCTCCTTGTTGCCAGCAGCCAACCCTCCCTTGGAGGCAGCAATGGCAAGCAGGCCCCAGACCTTGATTGGTACTGACTGGGCAGTTTGCCAGCGACGTTCTGCCTAGTATCGTGATCCCAAGCCAAGTGGGGTTTTCTCTCCCTTTTTTAGCTGCTCTTAAATTTAGATTCCACTTTTTTCTTTTTTAAAGAACTGAAAAGAGGCTTACTCCTCTTTATTTTCCCTCTGGTGCCAGGCCAAGACATATCTTTTTAGATTTTTTAATGTTTCTTTTATAACTTCCTTTATATCTTTTATATTTTTATTTATTTTATAGTATTAATTTTAATTTTATATTGTTATTTTTGTATTGTATTTTATTGTGTTGTAAGCCGCCCCGAGGCTTCGGCAAGGGGCAGCATAGAAATGTTTTAATAATAATAATAATAACAACAACAACAACATTTAGCCTGTACACTAAAAAACTCCAATGGCATGTGGAGGAGACCTAGTGAGGAGACGCATTTGCCAAAGGAAAGGCAACGCATAACTAAGGTCATGCAAGCCAAGGATGCTTCATTGACCAAGAGCCCGAGTTTCTTGCACTAGCCAAACACCATGACAAACACATCAGATATATATACATAAACAACAAAATACCAAAGTTTCATTCCAAATATGGATTGAAATATACCACAAACAGAAATTCTGGGTCCCCCGTGCAGTTTATAGCAATGGCATCTAATTTTCTCTTCCTGATTTTTTTGCTGCCATACTGAAAAAGCAACTGTATATTTATTTATTAAATTTAGATTCCACTTTTTTTAAAGAACAAAAAGAGGCTTACACCACTCTTTTCCTCCTGCTCTCAATTTTAACCCCACAACAACAACCCTGTGAGGTAGGTTGGGCTGAGATTTTGTGATTGGCTCAAAGTCACCCAGTGGGCTCCGAGGCTGAGCAGGGACTCGAACCTGGATCGCCTGAGTCCCAGTCCCACGCTCTTAACCACTAAATCCCACGGTCTCTCACATAACTGTTAACATAAAGAACTGTTCCTACCAAGACATTCCTGTATCCACAGGATAGCAAGGGTTTCGAGAATGTCTCATTTGGGTTATTATATAGAGGGCAGAGTAACCTGTAATGAATTATACATTTTACTTGAAATAAACCACACATGTATAATCTGTATTCAAACCTTGTTATATCATCCATCCAAGACCGCAACTGGCATAACTTGAAATCACAGCTGGATAAAAGTGCTTCTGAATGAGGATGGAGTCAGGGGTCAGACTAGATGGCCTGAGAGACCTCTTCTGACTTGTATGTTTCTATGTCCCAGTCCAGACAGCCTGCTAACACTTTGACCTTGTTTTGAAAAGAGCTTGGAACCACTGAGAAAATTTGCGGTTCTTCTTTTATCCATAGCAAAGATGGCATTCAGATAAAAAGTATAGTAACTACATGCCACATTATGGGCTTCTAGATGTGGCTTTCGGTCATTTCCAAATGCCACAAAGCTGAGAAGCATCCATTTGGAAGGGTAGCAATTCATTTAAGATACTGCAATTGTACACCGTCTGTGCTTGTCTTGGCTGGTGGCCATCGCAATTCTGCATGCGAAAAAGAGTTGCAAAGGGAAGAGGAGTTTATGGGAAAATTGCACCATTCCAAATTAATGTAGTGCCAGTGTGGCGTTGCGGTGAAGAGCGCGGGACTGGGACTCAGGCGATCTGGGTTCGAGTCCCCGCTCGGCCACGGAGCCAACTGGGTGACGTTGGGCCAGTCACAGACGCTCAGCCCGACCTACCTCACAGGGTGGTTGTTGTGGGGATTTATTTATTTATTTTTCGATTTATATCCTGCCTTTTTCCTACGAAGGGCTCAAGGCAGCTTACATCATTCTCCTCCATCTTCTCCCCACAACAACAGCCCTGGATGGAGAATGATGTAAGCTGCCTTGAGCCCTTCGTAGGAAAAAGGCAGGATATAAATCGAAAAATAAATAAATAAAACTAACAAATAAATAAGAGCAGCCCTGCTGGATCAGGCCAAAGGTCCATCCAGTCCAGCACTCGGTACACACGGTGGCAAACCAGCTGCCCCCAGGATCCCTCCAGCAGGAAGGATGCAGGAGCTCCATCTGCCCAAGCTCCTCAGCAACAGGCGTGGGCAGGCAGGCCGCCTCTGGGGAAGGGCCAGCAGGGCTAGTAGTCACAGACAGCGTCCCCCCCCACCACGAAATGCTTTCAGCCCCAGAATGCATTTCTGTGATCCCTTGACTATAACAAAGGGTAGCTTCAGTCAGCTCCTCACAGTTGTTTTTAGTGGGATCCAACTGGTCCATCGCAGAGGGATCCTCCCAGCTGGGAGAACAGACATCGAAATGGGAAATACAGGAGGAAGCCGGTGGGAAGTTGTGCAGGGTGGGACACAAGATTCCCCCTTCAAGCATACGCTGGTGGCATTTGACTCGGCAGTAACGACGGAGAAAGTGATCTTGGCTCCGTGAAACTGTCCACCGTGGGTGCAGCTGCTCTGGAAAAGGCAAATTCTCCGGGAGGGATCATTCGGAAAAGAATTGCGAATAGGACTGCCGATCTCAGGCTGCCCCTATGCCATCCTTTGGTGCAACCACACATAGAATAATGGGCCATATTCTGGCCATTCTGCCTAAAAAGGAGACATTTTAGAGCTGGAAAAGTACCAAAAAAGGCACTTGGCATGATCGGAGGGCTGGAGGAGGAACAGTTATAATAGCTGTGATGTTGAGCTCAAAAAGCTGGGCAAGGAGAGACATGATAGCAGATCGTTCACACACGATGGCTAAGAAGATGTTTTCCTCCTCTCACAAACCAAGAGCCTAAAGGATTGGCCCGTGAGGCTGATCGGTGGGAGGCTCAGGACAGAGCAAAGGACTCCTTCGTGCTGTTCGGAGCCACGCTGCAGCTTTCGCTTCTGCCAGAAGAAGTGACGGATGCCAGTCTGGATAGCTCAAAAAGGGCCTGGACACATTCACAGAGGAGCAGAGCTCCGGGCCGTTAGCACACATGGCTCCATCCTGCTTCCTGTACCAGAGGCAGTACATCCGTAGGCCTTTGCACTTGATGCCTTTGATGCCTTTGCCTTTGATGCTGACGGGGACGGGGCGTTATGTTCACATGACTCCAGTCCTCCGACAGCTTCACTGGCTTCCCACTGAAGTCCGGGCCCAATTCAAGGTGTTGGTGATGACCTATAAAGCCCTAAACGGCTTGGGTCCTGGCTACCTGAAGGTGCCCCTGCATCCATATATGCCCGCCCGCCCCTTGAGATCTGTGGGAGAGGCCCTTCTCCGGGAACCCTCCGTGAAAGAAATTAGGAGGGTAGGTACTCGGATGAGAGCTTTCTCTGCGGTGGCGCCCAATCTATGGAATGTGCTCCCCAGAGAGGTCCGCCTGGCGCCGTCGTTATTTGTTTTTCAGCGCCAGGTGAAGACCTTTTTATTTAAACGTCATTTTAATCGTTAACAATATTTACTTATTTATCTGGCCAGGGCGACTTCTTTTCTTTTCTTTTCTTTTTTCTTTTCTTTTCTTTTCTTTTCTTTTATAACTTCTTATATATTGTTTATATTTCTTATTTATTTTATATTATTAATTTTAATTTTATATTGTTATTTTTGTATTATATTGTATTTTATTGTGTTGTAAGCCACCCCGAGGCTTCGGAAAGGGGCGGCAGAGAATTGTAATAATAATAATAATAATAATAATAATAATAATAATGCCCTGCTTGTGGGGAGAGGTTTGCTTAGGAGAGCAGAGAAAACAAGGCACGGCATTGCACTCCCTGGGTTATTACAGGAAACGGAACTCGTTGTTCCAAACTGTCATTCAAGAAAACGGGGCAGCACTTGGCAGAATCCTGGGATTTCAATTTGTGAGGGGGAAATAAAACTCGGGTTCGTTTAGACCATCTGCTGCTTCATTGCTTAGCCCAGGTTCCTCGTGGGATCGACTCACGATAATGCATTACCGGGCAGGCAGAGGTGGGCTCTATTTTTTTCTTTTTTCCTTTTATATCCCCTCCCTTTTTATTTTTTTTTTTAAACAGAAAAAAACCATGAATACAACACAGCACAGCAATGATAATATAACATAACAAAACACTATAATTAAAAAGTAAATGATAAAGTGTCCCCACCACCCCAGAGACCAATACTACCACCACTTAATTCACATACTATAACAATTAATAATATATAATATACTTCAATTGTATCCATATCCCCTCCAGAAGTTCATATAATCTTGACTGGGTTTACAGCCTTTGCCTTCTATCAGTACTGCTTTTACAAAATCTTCCCAAATTCCATTATATTTATTTGCTTTCATTAACCCTTTTTAATTTTTAATTCTGTCATCAGTTTATCATTAATTACCATGTTCCAGATTTCATTATAGCATTCATGCCTTTGCAAAACCCAATTCTGTTTCCAATGTTTAACTATCACTAGCCTAACTGCCATTATCATACTTACAATCAATTCTTGCTTAGCTTCATTTACATCTTGTTTTTCTTTCAACAGTAATAGCACCATTCTCAGTGATCTCTTCTATTCCAAATATTCTTCCAGCCCTTGTCTTTTATTTCACCTACATCCATTTCCCAAATTGATTTTAAACTCTTTCTCTGATCCCCTAACTCCATTAATATCCTACCACCATTTACCTACTGTAACAATTTATAATATAAAATATACTTCAATTATTTCCATATCCCCTCTGGAAGTTCGTATAATCTTGACTGGGTTTACAGCCTTTGCCTTCTATCAGTACTGCTTTTACAAAATCTTCCCAGATTTGATTATATTTATTTGCTTTCCTTAACCCTCTTTTAATTTTTATTTCTGTCTTCAGTTTATCATTAATTACCATGTTCCATATTTCATTATAGCATTCATGCCTTTGCAAAACCCAATTCTCTTTCCAATATTTAACTATCACTAGCCTAACTGCTATTATCATACTTACAATCAATTCCTGCTTAGCATCATTTATATCTTGTTTTTCTATCATCAGTAATAACACCATTCTTGGTGACATTTCTAAGTCTCTATCTAAAATTTCTCCAGTTACCTTAAATACCATAATCCACATCTTTTGTATATTTTTACAATCCCACCACATATAAGTTCCGATCTCTTTACCACATCTCCAACAAATATTAGAATATTTACCATCAATTTGATTTAACTTAACTGGTGTTAAAGGCAGAGGGGGACTCGACTGTGAGGTTTCAATACAAATACAGAGCATTTTATACCCTCCTGGTCACGTACACAGGCACAGAGCAATTGATGACAGAATACAGACATTACAATGAAATTCTGAGGTCATCAGATACAGAACAAATAAGGAAGATCAGCCAAACATAAAAGTAACCATATTTCAAATTGCAGTGTATTGACATTTCAGTTGAGTAACTTCCAGAAACTTGAACCCATCTCCGGGTCTGCTCAGACATGTTAATTCAAGCTAGTGAAAAAACATTCATGAACTCACAAGCTCATCTAGACTCAGACCCTGAGTAATGGATCCGCACCTTACTGATCGGCCAGGGCGCATGGAGCGCTCTGGGCTAGCAAAATAGATACTCCCTGGTAAACTGCGAATTCCTTCAAGGATTATGTAGCTATATTGTGAATGTATATAATGTATATTAGACTGAATGGTCTGTCTGCTCTGACTTACAGAGAGAAGAGAAGAAGAGCAAGAGAAAGGAGAGGGGAGAAAATCCAATGCATTTGAGAAAGGGTGCAGGTTTGATTTTATAACACAGGAGCACACAGAAGCAATGTTTTTCTGCCAGGATTTATCCAAAATTTCCCAACACACTCCCTCGAAAGGACAGGGTCTGCAGCTTGAGAGTGCTCCTCGACCCTGAGCTGTCCCTGGCAATCCAGGTGACGGCAGTGCCAAAGAGTGCTTTCTTACAGCTTCGGCTGGTCCATCAGCTGCATCCTCACCTGGATGAGCAACGGCAATTCATGCTCTGGTAACCTCCCGGTGGGATTACTGCAATGCGCTCTACGTGGGGCTGCCCTTGAAAATGGTCCGGATACTTCAGCTGGTATAGACGGCCAGGAAGCTGACGGGGACCAGTTGTTATTCTCATATAACGCCGGTCCTCTACCAGCTCCACTAGCTCCCAGTTGAAGTCCGGGCCCAATTCAAGGTGCTGGTTTTGACCTATAAAGCCCTGAATGGCTTGGGACCAGGATACATGAAGGAACGTCTCATTCCTTCTATGCCGTCATGCCCCTTAAGGAGGTAAAAAGGACATCTACTCGGAGTAGGGCCTTCTCTGCAGTGGCACCCAGATTATGGAATGCGCTCCCTGGAAAGGTGCACCTGGCACTGAGCTTATACTGTTTTTGGCACCAGGTCAAAACCTTTTTATTTAACTGTTATTTTAAAAATTAGGATTTTAATGTAACAGTCGCGTTCTACTTAATTTATTTTTATTGGCTTTATGTTATCTATTTATGGTTATAGATTGTTTTAATGTATTTGATTTTAATTGATTGTAAGCTGTCCCGAGATGCCATGCATAAGGGACAGCAATATAAACGTTTTAAATAGATAGATAGATAGATAGATAGATAGATAGATAGATAGACCGACCGACCGACCGACCGACCGACCGACCGACCGACAGACAGACAGACAGACAGACAGATAGATAGATTCATATTGTGACGTGAACTGGCTAAAGGTTCTACCCAGGGACGAATTAGCTGACAGCTGGGAGCAAGCTGATACAATTGCCAGGTGTTTTCTCAGTGGGAGGGGGGGGGGGGCCAAGGTCACGAGAGGGTGATAGGCTCTCGGTATGCGGAAGCGAGAGATACCCGTGATTCCTACACAAGGACAGGAGAATTCGCACTCTCGAGGAGATGCGGGCAAAAAGCACCCACGGTCCTGAACATGCACATGGTGGGCAGGTCGTGAGTGGAGCCGGCTGGAGCCGGGGGTCGGACTAGATGGCCCAGGAGACCCCTTCTGACTCGCTCTGTTTCTATGTTTCTGTCCTCACCTGGCATGCATCACATGCCAGTCACCTCATGAGCTTTCTGACCTGGGCTGGGGGGGAATAAAAGGTGAGGGGCTCGCTGTGACTCTTTGAGGAGAGGCGCCGATCTTGCTGCCAAACCCTTTGCTACCCTGTGGCACTGATCTGACTGGTATATTATCTGTGTGTATAACTAGGCTAGGTTTAGCTTTGTTCATTTGTGCCTGAGGTGGCCAGCAAGGCCTCAAGTGCTGGGGCTTTTGTTTGGCTGTGAAATATTTCTCCAAATGTCTTCTGTTGTGTATTCTCTTTCTTAGCATTTTAGCTGTTTTAGTACCCCCACACTCCTATCTTTTAGCCTTTTAATAAACTCCTTTCCCCTAGTGCTTGGGATGCCATGTGCTGAATTCAGTGTCTGGTCCAGCGTTTGGGGCCTAGGGAGTTGCTGGGCAGAGACTTAAGCCCAAATTTGCACAGATAAGTGAATGGCAGAGTCCTCTTGTGCCAGTTTTCATGGTTTCATTCATGGAGGCAGAGGGGCATGTGTTTTAACAGCAGTCGGAGGAATGTTTTACTTCAAAAGCCAGGAAGATTCATTCCTCAGAACCATGTTTTGTGATGCGGCAGCACCCGTAACTGAGGGACCCACAACTGTTCTGGCTCTGCCTGCAAAGACAATGTGGCTATGACTGGATTGTGTGGGGGGTTTTGCAGAATGCACTGTTGAAATCATATGAAATCACGAAGATCTGTGGTTCAGACCCAGGTATCTGTGCCAGGCAGTGCCCACAACTGCTGCATCCGGGATCTTTACGTTTCGGTCCAGGGAGGGAGCTGTGCTGTCATTAGATATTGGTTTGGGACATGTGCATTAAAAACTATATGCAATCACAAGCCTGTTTTTCTCATTCGGTGCATCCAATGTGTTCTTTCTTCTAGAAGAGGCATACCTGTCATGTGCTCTCATGCCCAGACAAGGGACACAGCTGGATTCAGTGCGCTGGCCAGACAAAACACACACACCCGGCCAGGGCTGACCCAGAACACTTAGCCTCCTGTGACTCAGAAAAGGTATTTCTCACCCGATGCTCAGGGTCAGGCAGGGTCTCTACGCCCAGCCGACCCATAGGATAGTTGTTGAGCATAAGAATGGAATGGAGCTTGAATTATGCAAACGGCCTTGAGATCCTTGCAGTAGAGCCAGGCTGTAAATATGAGAAGAACCAGAGATTCCCCAGCCCAGGAAAAGCAGCATAACGTCAGCAGGTCCAGTAGCCATTAATACCCTCCTTTGCTGTAGAAACTACTGAATCATAGAGTCATAGAATAGCAGAGACGGAAGGGGCCATGAAGGCCATTGGGTCCAACCCCCTGCTGTTGCAGGACACCAATTTACATCATCCCACTGTGAAGGCTGTCCAGTTTCACGTTGAATGTCTCCAGAATGGGAGAGCGCACCACCTCTCCAGGCAGCTGGTTCCACTGACGCAGTGCTCTGACAGTGAGGAAACTTGTCCTGATATCTAGCCTGAATCTGGGTTGTCAGATTAATCTTAAATTAATCTTGAATTGATTATTCTGTGCCCTACACTCTGGAATCAGCAAGAAGAGATCTTGACCTTCCTCTTTGCAACAGCCTTTGAGGTACTTCTAGAGGGATACCTTGTCCCCCCTCAGTCTTCTCTTCTCAAGGCTGAGCGTGCCCAGTTCTCTCAGTCTTGCCTCACAGGGCAAAGTTTCCAAACCCTGGATCATTCTTGTTGCCCTCCTCTGGACCTGTTCTCATTTTCCTGCATTTTTCTTAATACTGGTACTCAGAACCAGTATTCCAGATGGGGTCTGAGTAGTGAGGAGTACTACTCAGAATGCGCTCCCCAGAGAGGTCCGCCTGGCGCCGTCGTTATTTGTTTTTCGGCGCTAGGCCAAGACCTTTTTATTCAAACAGTATTTTAAAAATCTTTAATCTTTATAGTTTTAATTATGCAGCCAGTGTGTTACCAACTTTTATTTGTAATTGTAATTTTATTTATTTATTTGTTATTGTGAGCCGTCCCGAGGCTGTATAGCAATGGGGACAGCATATAAAAACTTTAAATAAATAAATACTGCTTGTTATTTAGAGGTAGAACTTCTAGTAATGCTTCCCAGAACAACATTTGCCCTTTTTGCAGCTGCATCATATGGTTGGTGAGTTCTTTGATGTTCAGCAAGATTTCCACCCTCACTGATGCACTTCCCACATTCCATGCATTGATAAGGCCTCTCCCCAGTATGGGTTCTTTGATGTTGAGTAAGATATCTATGTTGTGAGCCACCCTGAGGCTTCGGCAAATGGGGCGGCATAAAAATGTTTTAATAAATAATAAATAAATAAATATCTACTCTGACCAAAGCTCTTCCCACATTCCATGCATTCATATGGCCTCTACCCATTGTGGGTTCTCTGATGTCTACTAAGATGAACATTCAATTTAAAAAATTTCCCACATTCCATGCATTTAAATGGCCTCCCCCCCCCCGTGTGTGTTCTTTGATGACTAGCAAGATTTCCACTCTCACTGAAGCTCTTTCCACATTCCATGCATTTAAATGGCATCTCCCCAGTGTGTGTTCTTTGATGTCTAGCAAGATTACCACTCAGACTGAAGCTCTTTCCACATCCCATGCATATGTATGGCCTCTCTTCAGTGTGGACCACTTGATGTCTAGCAAAATGCCCAATGTCAATAAAGCTATTTCCACATTCCATGCATTTGTATGGCCTCTCTCCGGTGTGAATTCTTGCATGTATAATAAGATGGGCATGTAATTTAAAGCACATTCCACATTCCATGCATTTGTATGGCTTCTTCCCAGTGTGGATTCTCTGATGTTTAGTAAGACCTCCAATCTCGCTGAAGCACTTCCCACATTCCATGCACTGATAAGGCCTCTCCCCAGTATGGGTTCTTTGATGTTGAGTAAGAACTCCACTCTGACTGAAGCTCTTCCCACACTCCATGCATTTGTATGGGCTCTCCCCAGTGTGTGTTCTTGCATGCATAATAATGTGATGTTTCTGTTTGAAGTGCTTTTCACATTTCACACATTCATATGGCTTCTCCTCAGTATGGGTTCTTGCATGTGCACTGAGATGATGTTTTCTTTTGAAGCTTTTAACACATTCCATGCATTCATATGGCTTCTCCCCAGTGTGGATTCTCTGATGTTTAGTAAGACCTCCAATCTTGCTGAAGCACTTGCCACATTCCTTGCATTGATAAGGCCTCTCCTCAGTATGTGTTCTTACATGTATAATAAGGTGATGTTTCTGTTTGAAGTTCCTTCCACATTTCACACATTCATGTGGCTTCTCCTCAGTGTGGGTTCTTGCATGTGCACTGAGATGATGTTTCTGTTTGAACCTCTTTCCACATTCCATGCAATCATATGGCCTCTCCCCATTGAGGGTTATTTGATGTTTAGTAGAACCTCCAGGTTCGCTGAAGCTCTTTCCATATTCCATGCTTTTACATGGCCTGTCCCCAGTGTGCTTTCTGGAATGTATAATAAATCTAGCATTCTTTAGGAAGCTCTTTCCACATTGCATGCATTTAAATGGCTTCTCCTCCACATTTATTTATTTATTATTTATTTATTAAAACATTTTTATGCCGCCACATTCGCTGAAGCCTCGGGGCGGCTTACATGTGTTCCTTCATGTGTATTAAGGTCTGCACATATGTCGCAGCTTTTTCCATTTCCTGTACATTGATGTGGCTGCTCTCCCGTGTTAACTCTTCCATCTTCAGCAAGGCTGCCACCTTCACCGAAGCTCTGCCCACCTTCCATGATCTTATACAGCTTCCTGAATGTTTGGATCCTTAGTGCCCACAAAGACATCTGCTCTCTCTGAGGCTCCTTTCACATGACACATGTTAAAATGGGTTCTCCATTATGTGGGATCTTTGAAGTCAAGGGAGTGTTGTGTCTACATGGATGCTCCTTTTAGGTTCTGCACATTCGTTTAGTCCTTGCAAATGTAAATGTTTCTAAACGTTGTATTTCCTTCCAATTTCTTTCTCCTTTCCTTCCTCTTGTGAACTTCAGGAATGAAGGGCTTATGGTTACCAAAACCCTGAGAAATTCAGGTTTTCTTTCCTCCTGTCCTTTACATTGTTTTCCTCATGGTTTCCCCATCCCATTTCATATAGAAGTGTGTCTTTTCTCACTTCACGCTCACTTGCTTCTGATGATATGACACGGGGTTGCACATAATCACTAGAGTCTTGCCGTTCACCTGGTTGTGAGAAAAAGAAAATCTGGTTATACGTGAAAGGCTGAAAGCCATAAACTCAGTTGAGCTCATGCCAAATTTGACACCTTTCATTTCAGCTTCTCCACTGTTCTCTCTTTTTCCTTTTTGTAAGCCCTACTGAATCCTAGGTTTCTCTTGGTGCAAGATTTCAAGATTCTGTCGTTAGAAGTCTTATTCCATTCCTGTGAATACCTGCAGGGATTCTGATCGCAGACACCTGCACTAATCTTTTCACATTGTTGGCTAGTTTGTCTCAGCTGTAAATAAGATTCCCTCTACAAAGCAGGCACTCACATTTCCATACCAGTATAGATGGGAAAGAACAGCTTGTACAAATCAGAACTATAGTACTGGCTTGTAGCAGAGGTAGGCAACTTTATTATTATTATTATTATTATTATTATTATTATTATTATTATTATTAACATTTCTATGCCACCCCTTGCCGAAGCCTTGGGGCGGCTTACAACACAATAAAATACATTGAAATACAATAGAACATAATAAATTACCACTAAATACACCTTGAACTGTCTATCCAAAATTAATTCTAGGATGCCATTGAGGGTAAAATCTTCTCACAGTGGCATACAAGATTTACCAAGCAGTGTTGCTCATGGCAAGGGATGATGGAAGTTGTAGACAAAAACAAGATATGGATCTATTCCTGGGAGGAAGGCAGCATAATGTCTCCGGGACGGAAGTAAAACTAACTTTTTACTTGGCTCTCCTGCAACAGCAGGGGTGGGGGGGTTGGGATCAATGGCCTTCATAGCCCCTTAAACTCTAGTATTCTCTGGTTATTTTTAAGGGTATTGCACTGTCAGCAAACATTTGTATGAAAGCAAGAGAGATAGTGGATGCTTTTAATCTTATGCAAGTCTTTTAGATTGTTATTTATTTTATATTGTTAATTTTATATTGTTATTTTTGTATTTTATTGTATTTTATTTGGGCTGTGAGCCGCCCCGAGGCTTCGGCAAGGGGTGGCATAGAAATGTTTTAATAAATAAATAAATAAATAAATAAAATACAAATTTGCTAGACATAAGAAGATCAAAAACAAAGCAAGAAGAACAAGGACCTTCACAAAGAAAAGAGTATCGAGTTCACCGACTGCCCTCCTAGAACAGCTGTTTGGAAGATAAATAGGTGGAAACTAGGCTGTGTCCTGTTTCCCAACAGGAACTTTTAGAGCCCCACCTAGGGATTCCTGGAATCAAAGCAGTTTGTAGCCTCCTCCAGTGGGCTGAATGCTTCTGGAGATCTGGAAGCAAAGAAATCCAGGTTTTCTTCTGGGGATCCTGAAGGCAAGAAGCCAGATTCAAGTTTGCTTACAAGGTGACGTGTTGGTCTGTGGAGTACTCATACAGAGTACACTCCACTCAGTAACAGCAACGATCAATCAACAAGGATCCCATCAGCTGGAATGGACCAACATTTCTCTGCGGTGGCGCCTAAGTTATGGAAGGCGCTCCCCAGAGAGGTCCGCCTGGCGCTGTCGTTATTTGCTTTTCGGCGCCAGGCGAAGACCTTTTTATTCAAGCGGCATTTTAACTGTTAATATTATTGGATTTTATCTGGCCAGGGTGGCTTATTTTATACTGTATTGTTGTATTTTTAATTTAATATTTATATTTTTAATTTATATTATAATTATTTTAACTTAGTGATGTGAGCCGCCCTGAGGCTTCGGCGAATGGGGCGGCATAAAAATGTTTTAATAAATAAATAAAAAAACAGGGAAGCCTGCTGGTCCACGAAGTCCAAACCAAGACGAACTGAGCCAAGTGCCCATTTTATACCTTCTGTTCCTTGCAGCAATAGCCTACCCTGACACAGGTGAGCGCTCTGCAGTTACCTGGATCACAAGCACGCCATCTTGCTCTGCACATTGGCAAAATGCTCCCTCTCATCAGAAGCCAGTAGCGGATCGCCAGTAATCAGTCGATCGATGGGCAGGGTCATTCTTGGACCAATCAGCAAGCCTGTGTGGCAGCCGATGGGAGCAAGAGTGAAGTGCACCAGACCCTCATTAGCTCCGTCTGTCCAGAATGCAAGCTCATTAGTCATTGGGTTAATCAAGCCCCTGCTCACATATCACGGTATCAGTACATCTCTGCTCTGTGTCCTCCTTCCCTGTCAAGAGGCTGAACTACCAGCTGGCCTTCCAAGGTGCTAAAGGGCAAGACTGTCTTCATCTGGTGAAGACACCAGAGCCGTCTTCCTCCGAGGCGTGTGCTGGAGATCACCCCGGATGCTCCACGGCAGGCGAAGCTTGGAGACTGGGTCTCTCTGGCCTGATCCCAGCAATCTAAATGGACACCGCTCACAATCTCATACTGGTCTACCTTACCGGCTTGTCAAGAGCATTACTCGAGGATTGCAGTCTGAACAGAGAGGGAGGCCGCGAGCAAGGCTGCCATGGAAAGAGAAGGAAACGCATGCGGTGGAAGAATGAAGAGCCACCTACAGACAAACTGATTCTAAAAAAGATCTTGGACTGTGCAGAAATGGACAGATTGACTTTGCCTCTGAAGGAGAAAGAACATACAGACTTCTGTCAAACTTGGGATTCTTTTTATCATTGGCTAGAGAAACGGGACTATGCATAGATTCAAATATGTTTATAGTTTAACATAAAAAGATAAAATGTGGGGGGCTGACCCAGCAGGTCCGATGTTCTCGATGACTGATGTTGTTTTCAGTTTCTTTTTTGTTAGGTTTATTAAGAATAAAGCAGAGAGAGAGAGAGAGAGAGAGAGAGAG